CATTAATTAAACGTTACTAATTAAATGATTTTAATTTCTTCAGTGTGTTACGTCCTGAAACTTACAATATAAAACGTATAATCTATTATAGCATCATAAAATGGACTATTGGATTTGGATTAGTTAATGTTAATGATTTCAAGAAAATGAAATTTGAAGGATCGGATTCTGGCACACTTAAAAAGTATATTGATACTATCTGTTCTCAACCTGGTCGTGACATAAAAGCTGAATATAAGACTTTAATATTGTCATTTAAAAAACTCATTGAAGAAGAATGGGTCAATGCAGAAGCTTGGGATGATCGTAAAAAACTCATGAAGGTAATTTTGAAAATAATTATAAACATATTTTCTTTATCATATCAAATTAAAAGTTATTTTATGCTAAATATAGTTAACTAATAACCACGAAAGTGGACTTGTTTGTGATTATTGTCACTGTAATATTTGGAATCGACATTACCATTGTTATTCTTGCCAGACGGAAGATGAAACATATTTTGATTTATGTTTACAATGTTATGCATCTGGAAGGGGTTGTCAACATTTTATGTATCTCAGAAGGCACCTAAAAATGAGACATATCTTAAAAGTTTATAAAAGTGCAAGAGATACATATTATAAAAAGTTTGACCAGGACCCGTTATTGCCAAGTACAATTGAATTAGAAGGGTAAAAATTAATTAATCAATCAATCATTATTATATTTATTTGTTTTGATTTAATTTTTAATTGTAATAAGATTTTAAAAAAGTTTTTTTGTTTCTTTGGGAAAACAGTAGCATTGGCACGTCAAGTTATGATTTATGGAAGGCTTCGTATGAAGATTTAGAACCACCTACTCCCTTACCACACCCTAATGTTGTTTATATGGAGCCTTCAAAACTATTTGTCAAAGATAGGAGGAATAATTAAAAGGAGGAGAAATGATCGGAAATGATGATGACGATGGCGACATAATATTGATACTGCTGCCTCTTCTCTCACTACTACTGTTAGGAAATGAAGAAAAGGTTAATGCTTGCAACCACTTCCACCCCCAATACTCCTTATATTAATGGTGTAACTAACAATAGTTATAAATAAATAATAGAACAATATTGTTGTTGATCATAAATCGTTATCATCAACAAAATAAAGATAATCTCAAATTTATTATTATTATGTAACATGACATCGTCAATTAAAATTTGATAATAAGAAGTTTTTGGTGGAAAAAAATAATAATTTAAAAATATTTCTTTCTCATTTATTTGTAAACTAATTTTTTCTTGCAAAACTAATAATTATTTAAAAAAATGTGTTTCGGGGTTTGGAAAAAATTTAAAGAATTTGTTCATGACAAAGGCGGAAATGTGGTGGATTTGGGTATCGGTAAGTAAAAAAAATCGAAAAAATAAAATAATAAAAAACAAAATAATGATAAAAAAAAGCAAAGAATTAAAGATATATTTTTTGTGTTGATGACGATAATAGGTATAATTGTTGGTGGTGCTTTCACCAATGTTGTGACTTCTTTTGTGGTAAGTTGAGAAGAAGAAAAAGAAGAAGATGCTGATATTAATGAAACTTTTGAATTACAGAGCAATCATAAGAAACAATGTACAAATAGCAATGCTATTTTTTTATTTTTTAGTTTACAAATAACATATTATTAATAAAGATTTCTGTTATTATTAAATTAGATCTTATTGATGACGTTGAATCAATATATAGATTTAATATTTCCATATAGTTATAATCATAGTTAATGAAAGAGAAAATGATGTGGAATCAGTTTGGACTATTGGAAAAATAAGCCCAACAATATGATATAATAAAATTACATGAATTGAATGAATAAATAAATACAGTAATAAATAACATCAATTATACAATAATAAATAAAAACTGATTTCATTGCAGATCAATTAAAGC